TTTGGACACTTCTTTATTTATATAAAAAAAATATTATTGGATAGATGGCAAGGAAGCACTTCTTTATTATATAAAAAATATTGATTACTGCACTATTTATGTTAAATAGTTATCAATTTGAATTTTAAAATATGTGTTTTTTTTCAAAATATTATGAAAAATATGACTAAATATACTATGAATGCAACATCGTAAAAATTATACGTTATGTATAATCTAAAATTGAACATTATAATAATTACTCGTACTACTGTAGTTACTTCTATACAAATTATACGTATGATCTTATTTCTTACCATAGTCTCACAGGCGATTCCCTATTTTAATTAACTTCTAAAGTTGAATTTCAGCTATCAATCAGCTTTAAAGTTCAATATTAAAAATGACGCGGAAACTGCATTTGATTTCAACCTACATAATCATGGTGATAAAGATCTTTCTTTGGTAATTATTGATGTTATAATATATTCATCGATCACATTAAGCTGATCTAAATTAAAATTATGGCAGTTAAATACTTCAAATAGAGGATATCCTCATTCTTTTTACATCATTTAATCAATGTAACATTTTTTAGTTATTTTATATACGTAGTATCAATTACTCTACCTCTTTTATTACTTGGAAAATATTACAACAACTTATCATGAGTCCAACTCATAATAATTTCCGTTAGCTTTAAAAATCCCATAACTTTTGACCGTTTTCATTACTAGTCCCGTAATTTTAGTCACTTGCAAATTTGGTCCTGTAAGTAATAAATTAAATATTTGCGATTTAAGGATTTTCCCTTGAAAATTACACTTTCCGATGATAGTATATATGAAAAGGTGATGTCGGCGTCGGTTTTTTTTGCCGGAAAGTGTACTTTCCAGTGGAACAGTCCTTAAATTGCAAAGACTTTTTAGTTAGAGGACCAAATTTGCAAGTGATTAAAGTTACAGTACTAATGATGATAACAACCAAAAGTTACAAGACTAAAATCGTAAATCTTCCTTAAAAATCACTTTACAAATCCACTTTCGGTTAGATTACGTTACGCTTGTTGTCCAAAAGGTTGAATCCTAACTCCCTAACGCTAGTAGACCTTTTACTCGTGCGCACCAGAAACTCAGCCTAGCACAAGGGAGTTTTGACCTCCATACAATCGTTGCGGGCTTCGATTCTTGGTCATTGTCCAAGTGATCTACCACTTTACCGGTTGAGCCAATACGTGCGGTTAAGCATGGACTCGGGCCGGGCCCGACCGAGCTTTTTTTTTGGAATCTTGAGGCCCGGAACCGGCCCGTGTAGCTGCCGGGCCGGGTAACCTTTTTTATTTTTTTTGATTTTCTAATTACTTCCTACCCCCACCCCACCCCACCCCCAAACCCCTCCAAAATACCCAGCCCAACCCATTTACTTTTAAAAAAATATTGAAAGACCAAAAAGAAATGCCCGAGTACCGGGCCGGGCCGGTTGATCCGGCCCGAGTCCATCCCTACGAGTGGTAGATTACATTACTCTTGTGTTTGATGGTCAAACGTATACGTGACAAAAAATCGGGCGAGTTTTTTTGTAATCATTTGTCACGGATTTTTTGAACTACCGTCCGTGACAAAATCCGTGACAAAAGACGAGTTTTTTTGTAGTGGTAGGAGGACTTGCCTAGTTGCGTGCATTTCTTTTCAACATTATATATTGTGAGTTTGGATCCTCTCCGCTTCCGGTTGGAGAGATAGAGAGAAGAGAAATTACAGTGGGTATGTTGATGAGTAAGATAGAAAAAAGGTAGCAATAGATACAAAGAAAAAAGGAAATAGAGAAAAAAAATTGAGAGAAGTTAAACTCATATACTATGTACGGAGTATATCACTAATCCTCCACTCGTAGTTGTACTTTTCATTTTATTGATCAAAATAGTGACACTATGTTTGATAAGATGGCTGCAATGGTATTCATAAAAATGAGGGTATAATACTTTCAAGGTATCACAACATTTTTCATTTTAATAAATTAATCACAAAAATCAAAATAATAATCAAATCCGGGTAATTTTGTGATGTGATTGATTATCATACATACTGATCGATTGTGTTAAGTTGTTAATGTACTTATTGTAAAATCACTCTTCAGTTGTTTTTACTTGGACGGTAATTCGTCACAAACCAGATCAGACCAGGCCAGATCAAACCAGACTAAAACAGACTAGATCATACCAGACCATATATTATTACTATTATTATTATTATTATTATTATTATTATTATTATTATTAGGGGTGTGCACCGGTTCAAAACCGGACCGGACCGTACCGAACCGGACCGGATATCATTCCGGTTCGATCCGGTTCCAGTTTTTCCGGTCCGGTTTTGTGGTTTAAACCGGATAGTGCACACTCCTAGTTATTATTGCTATTATTATTATTATTGTTATTGTTATTATTATTATTAACTATAAATGAATAAAATATAATTACTTATGGATTATAATATATATAAAAAACAAAATCTTTATGAAAAAAATATAAAAATAAAATTTCAGATCAGACCAGACCAAAACAGACCAGACCAAATTAAAACAAACCAAACCAGACCAGATCAAACCAGCAAATTACAGTCCAAGTAAAAACATCGTTACGAGATATTGAGGTGTCGAAATTAGTGTTTTTTCACCAGTGTTAGTGGAGTATACCCGTAGTATATAATTCCATCTGGATCTCACGTACAATAAAGGGTCGGATATGCCTTTGAACTAAAAGGAAATAGGATCGGATATGCCTTTGAACTTACATAAAAAGGTCAAATAAGCTTTTATATAGGAGGCCATGTCCGGCCATCGCCATTTTGGGCGATTCTCGGTGGAATTTTTTGATGAATTTTTTTGAGCATCTTATTCATAAAGTTTAGTTTACTCATACTAAATTCCAGCTAAAACTTCAATCGGGAATCGCCCCAAATGAATTCTTTAAGATAACTGTGCAGTTAAAAGCGCAGTTATCTTCAAGAATTCATTTCAATGTCTTTCAGATTGAAATGTTAGCTAAAATTTGGTTTGAGTAAACTAGACTTAATGAATAAGATGCTCAAAAAATTTCATCAAAAAAATTCACCGAGAACTGTCCCAAATAGCGATGACCGAATGGAGCCTTCTATATAAGTGCTTTTTTGACCTTTTTATATAAGTCGAGCACTTATTTGATCCTTTTTCTCTAACTAAAAATAACTTCAAAAAAAAAGTGTTCTATATAGAGAATACAACACTTTTTTTAGTAACCGTCTATTTTCATTAATAAGATAATGAACACTTATCTTATTAATATAGAGCTGGTAAAAGTAATCTTATCTAACCTTCATTAATAATCATGACTACAAGTCTACAATAAATACGAAAATATCTGAAACGTTATTAGAAAACTACCGAAACGCAACTAATTCCAAAAAGAAGAAATGTTACAATTAAAGAGTAAAACTCAAATTCAGTGAAGACTTTGGCCTCATTAAGCTGTTCATTGGACCAAATTAAGACAAAGTGCATGGCAACGACGCGGTGAAAAAAGGGGACAGGGCTACAACACGAGGACTTCCCATGGCATGGAGTCACCTATTCTACTACTTGTTCGCTATCGGAATACAACGAATGATCAGATCAAATCATCAAATACTATACGAGTTGTGAGTCAAATCTGAAACGTTTGTCAGATTAAGGTTAATTTGTAAGCTTTACTTAAATATATTGTAAACGTAGTCAGAACACTAGTTTTAAAACTCAACGATCTTTCCAATGATATATATAAAACGCTTGAAACACTTGGTGGTAAAGGTGATCCACCACATACGGTGGCTCCGGCTAGGGGTGGACTGGGCAGGGTCTGGGTCGGCTCTGGATCGGGTCCGTGTCTGGCTCTGGACCCGGATTGGGAGGGCTTCGAGCCCAAAAACAATAGGCCCGACAGTTGATCGAGTTTGTACGGGGACCGTGTCAGGCCCGGATCAGGTCAAGCCTTAATTAATTTTTTAATTTTTGTCTTTTTGAATTAATTCCAACCCCCCACCCTGTCCCACCCACCCAGCAGTCAATCCAATGGGAAAATAAAAAAAAAAAATGGGCTCAAGCCGAGCCCAACAAGGTCGGTCCACCAAAATAAGAGCCCGATGCCCGTCTATTTCTTCTACTGGGTCGGGTCCCGGGCCTATTTCAGGTCCCAATCAACTGGGCCGGGTCGGTCCTGCACAGTAGTGGGCCTGGTCGGGTGGCGAGACGGGTTGGGTAGCGGGACAGGTAGGCCCGTCCCAATCCATTCCTAGCTCCGGCCACAAGTTCGAGTAGACATGGACTGGGCCAGTTCAGTCTGGGCCGCCCTGCCCGCCCCCGCCGACAAGGATCGAGAATGGGGGCCCGAACCGGGGATAGGGGGCGGGCTAAGGGACGATGGAACTGCTGACCGGCCCGGCCGGTCCATGAACGGTCCGGGCCTAACGGCTAGTTTTTAAAAAATGTGTAAAACTTTAAATGGCTTTGCAGCCATGTGTGGGGTGGCCAAACGGCTCTATAGCCGTTGGAGGTTGTCTGGGAGGTTGGGGGTGGGGTGGGGTGAAAAAAATCGAAAAGTACTCCTAAATTCTAAACATTTTTTCTATACCTATTCTCCAATGCTTCCTACTCTCTATTCTCTAATACTCTCTAATCATCTCCATCTTCATTTTCTCCAATTCTCTCTACACCTATTAATTTTTTTATCATACATATTAATATATACCATATCTATTTAAATTAGTTATACAATTATTATTGATGGAATATATGGACTCCGACCCCCCGGTCTGTCGACTACTAGGCCTGGACAGTGGCCCACACACGTTTAGCGGATTCATATTATTGTACATTGTTATTATTAAGATGTTCTAGATTAGCTTTGTATACTATCAGTTCATTTATGTAACCGGGTCTGTCAGGCCCATATTAGAGGCCCAGACCCGGATTTTCCCTATATATACTCCTTATAGGAGGCTTGTAAACCATAACAAATATTCATTCATTCTATACACTTTCATTATTTCTTCTCCATTCTTGTTCAATCTCTCCTGTTTATACAATATGGGTATCGATTATCCAACAATGGTGCTCTCGTTGAGAGGTTTGAACATAATCAAGTGAGAAAACCTCCCAAAAACAACAAAAAATATACAGAAAATCAGTCAAAAAACAATATGAAAATCCAAAAAAAAATGATATGGCATGTTAGATCCGGGATTTCCCAGACCTCGCTGGACCAACCTTCATCGCGCCTCCGTGCCCCAGGTGGGTCGCCCCGCTTCTGGGCTAGCATTGCCGCCACCGGCCAGCCACCACCTGAATCACCCAAGTGCCGCTCGTCGTCAACAGTCAACCGCCCGGCGGTCATCCAACTGGTCAGTCGCTGTTCGATCCCTCATGACTCTGCTGATGCGAACCAGGGAACATGCGCTTTGGAACTCCTTAAGTTTCACCATTAATGGTGGCTTGGAGCTTAGGGAAGGTATGTTTCGGGGCTCGGCCGATCTTCCACCGTAGGTTAGCTTTTCAAGCCACCCTCACCCCGCTGCAGCTTCCACTCTCATTGCCGGTCAGCGGTCGACCTCCACTGCCTGGCCATGGTGGGATGTTTCACCTGCCTCTCCATGATATGCACGGATGCTCTTCGCTTGGCCGAGAGCAGACCACGTACAAAGGGCCAAAATGAGAGGGGGTTAGCAGTCAAAGACGGAGGCGTTGTGGACCGAGTAGACGCAGAGGCTAAGCCTAACTGCAATGCGAAGGGTTTAAAATCTGGAGTATATGACAGAAGAGGACCCCATGATCTTGACATGCCTGACAGATGCAGGAGCAAAGGAATGGTCACAATTGCTCTGTATTACGGAGTATTTGCTGCCCTCTTTGTGCTTCCACTTAATTCGGACTTGGAGCTTAGGGAAGATGGAGACAAAGCTGCCAGCTTGCTGATGGGAACCGACTTTGGAATGCAATGAAGTGCAATGGGCCACACACATTCAACAAGTCTGCCAGCTTTTACAAATTAACTTGGGCCCAAGGGAATCAACATGCTTCTGTTTATTTCAATCCAGCCCACCAAATTATTTCAGCCCATCAAAAGATAAGTACTCTTTAATTTTCATATTATTTACGAATTATATTTATTTAAATCATTTTTTTCCGGGTGAATGTCACACTATCACACAATTATGATCAAATGCCTAGTAGACTGTGGCTTGAGACCCATCACTAGGATTTAAAGCCCTGACTCCTCAGGCACAAAGCCCTGACTCCTCAGGCACAAAGCCCTGACTCCTCAGGCACGAAGATCGGTCTTAGTCATTCCAAGAGTGGCGACCGTTGCGTATGAATGGCTCACACCCCACTCTACTAAGTATTTTATCATTACATCAACAATTCACATTTCCACTTTTTTCAAGTGACGAACTCCCGATCGGAAACATAAACCCCAAGGAAAAATTTATATGCATGCTAAATGTGTAGGTACCAAGAGGACTTTACTCATTTTCACCTCGACTCCACTCGCCTCAACGAGTGGGGGACTGGGGGACTGAGAGGTCAGGTTTTCTGGATGAGCACTAAATATCACGCGTGAACAGGAACGAGAGCTAAGTCAGATGAAGACAGATTGAACTAGACAAAAGTGATTATGTTGGAAGGGGCCTACCTTCCTTGTTTCATGTTGGGGGGCGTTAGGTGTACTCTTTTTCCCTTTATTAGGATTTTTTCTCATTCGGTTTTTTCCTAATGAGGTTTTTAACGAGGCACCTCCCCACCATGGACAAGGGTGGTGGTCCCCCGGCCGAAGAGGAAGAAACCAAAGGCAGAAGAACTTTGCGGATACAATTGTGAACTACTCCCTTTCGCCTCGAGTACTCTCGACTCAGGGAGTGGGGGACTCCTGATGGAATATATGGACTCTGACCCCCCGGTCGGCCGACTACTGGGTCTGGACAGTGGCCCACGCACGTTTAGCGGATTCATATTATTGTACATTATTATTATTAAGATGTTTTAGATTAGCTTTTTATACTATCAGTCCATTTATGTAACCGGTTCTGTCGGGCCCATATTAGAGGCCCAGATCCGAATTTTCCCTATATATACTCCTTATAGGAGGCTTGTAAACCATAACAAATATTCATTCATTCTATACACTTTCATTATTTCTTCTACATTCTTGTTCAATCTCTCCTGTTTATACAATATGGGTATCGATTATCCAACAATTATGTCTAGTCATATATTTATTATCAACTTTTAAATACATATATTATATCTACTTATATTTATTATCTACTTAATATCTACTTATTATATACTTGTTATTTACTTATATTTACATATTATATCTAATTAATATAATAAGTATATACGAAGTATATTAAAGTATTATATATAAGTGTACTACTCATCTTATCGTAGTATACTTATATATTATATACTATAAACATTATATTATATATTAGTTATACAATTATTATATCTACTTATATACTTATTATCTACTTATAAATACATATTGTTGGTCCAAAATTAATTTTTTAAAATTTGTCTTTTTGAATTAATTCCAACCCCCTGCAACCACCCTGCCCCACCCACCCAGCAGCCAATCCAATGGGAAAATTAAAAAAAATGGGCCCAAGTCGAGCCCAACAAGGCCAGTCCACCAAAATAAGAGCCCGATGCCCGCATATTTTTTCTACTGGGTCGGGTCCCAGGCCTATTTCAGGTCCCAATCAACTGGGCCGGGTCGGTCCTGCACAGTAGCGGGCCAGGTCGGGTGGCGAGACAGGTTGGGTAGCGGGCCGGGTAGGCCCGTCCCAATCCATTCCTAGCTCCGGCCACAAGTTCGAGTAGGCATGGAGTGAGCCGGTTCAGTCTGGGTCGGCCCGCCCGCCTCCGCCAACAGGGACCGAGACTGGGGGCCCGAACCGGGGATAGGGGGCGGGCTACGGGACGATGGAACTGCTGACCGGCCCTGCCGGTCCAGGAACGGTCCGGGCCTAACGGCTAGTTTTAAAAAAATGTGTAAAACTTTTAATGGCTTTGCAGCCATGTGTGGGGTGGCCAAACGGCTCTATAGCCGTTGGAGGTTGTCTGGGAGGTTGGGGGTGGGGTGGGGTGAAAAAAATCGAAAAGTACTCCTAAATTCTAAACATTTTTTCTATACCTATTCTCCAATTCTTCCTACTCTCTATTCTCTAATACTCTCTAATAATCTTCATCTTCATTTTCTCCAATTCTCTCTACACCTATTATTTTTTTTATCATACATATTAATATATATCATATCTATTTAAATTAGTTATACGATTATCATGTCTAGTCATATATTTATTATCAACTTTTAAAGACATATATTATATCTACTTATATTTATTATCTACTTAATATCTACTTATTATATACTTGTTATTTACTTATATTTACATATTATATCTAATTAATATAATAAGTATATACGAAGTATATTAAAGTATTATATATAAGTGTACTACTCATCTTATCATAGTATACTTATATATTATATACTATAAACATTATATTATATATTAGTTATACAATTATTATATCTACTTATATATTTATTATCTACTTAAAAATACGTACTGTTGGTCCAAAATAGGGCGCTCATAGGTTTTTAGGAAAGCTACGTACGACGCTCAAGCAAGAATTAGAAAAGCAAGGACGAGAATGGAAAGTAGCTAGGAGATTTAGTTGCCAGAAGTAGCATATCTGTATTTGAAATTCGAATTGCCTTTTATAGGTGATTACAAATGGTAACTGACGAACATAATAATGACTAAATTAATTACAACATTAATATGGAATTAAATACATAATTAATAGCGCATTGATTGTTGACCATTACTCTTCCTGGCTGGCTAGCAGGTCGGCCTGGCTAACATGCAGAACGCTTGAGCTCCTCGGGCGACAGGCTTCCGTTGGGCTGGAAGGTAGACTCCCCGTTTGGCTGGAGGACAGGTTCCCCACTGGGCTGGAGGACTAGCTCCTCGCTAAGCCGAAAGGCAGGCTTCCGGTTTGGCCGGTAGGCAAGCTCCCTGCTGGACTGGGGGCAGGTTGCTGGCCTGGCTAAAGGCAGGCCATCTTGGGCTTCTGCTCCTTGATGGGCTTGATCAGTTGGGCTGACTCGAGCTCTGGGTCGCTGGGCCTGGACTTGCTGGTCCAAGTTCGGAGCCTGGATCGATTAGGCTCTGAGCCTAGTCCTGTAACCCCATCACATATAATATATCTTTTCACATTTATTTTCTACTTAATATATACTAGCACTTATTATCTACTTAATATATACAAGTACTTATTATCTACTTAATATCTACTTATTATATACTGGTTATTTACTTAAATTTACCTATACTACATCTAATTAATATACTAAGTAGTATACTTATATATACTCTATACTATAAACATTATATTATATATTAGTTACACTTTAATTAATATTAGTTAAATTTATCATATTAGTTACACACTCACACTTCCATTAATTTGTATACATTCATACATTATTCCTATTAGTTACATTTTTCATTAATATTACTACACTTGTTAGATTGAAGTATTAAACTAGTTGCAATTTTAGTTAATTAAACTATTAACCTAGTTGCATTTTTAGTTAATTTTACTACACTTGTTAGATTGAAGTATTAAACTAGTTGCAATTTTAGTTAATTTACTACACTTGTTAGATTAAAATATAAAAGTACACTACAAAAAAACTCGCCCTTTGTCACAGATTTTGTCACGGACCGTAGTTTAAAAAATCCGTGACAATTAATTTTTGTCACGGATTTGTCACGGAAAAAATCCGTGACACCAGGGGCGTGATAACGTTTTTGTCACGGAATTTAATCCGTGAAACCGTTTGTCACGGATTTATCACGGCCACCGTCCGTGACAAAACACTTCGCCGGAACTCCCTAGCCTTTTATTTGTCACGGCCACATCCGTGAATAAATTTTTTTATTTTTCAAACAAAAATAATTATTTGTCACGGAAATTTCCGTGACAAATTAAAAAAAGGTTTTCGAAATAGAGTGGGCGGGTATTTGAAACGATCTAAAAAATTCAAATTTTTAATGTTGTCACGGACATATCCGTGACAAAAGATAAATTTTGAAAATTTTCAAAACAGATGGGTAGGTACTTTAAAAATTTCAAAAAAAATATTCAAAATTTTGAACTTAGTCACGGATCTCATCCGTGACAAAACATTTTTTTTAAAAAAAATACGTTATTTTCTTAAAAGTTTTAATACGTTATTTTCTCAAAAAATACGTTTTTTGAACTTGTCACGGATCTCATCCGTGACAAAAGTTTTAATTTTTTAAAAAAAAATTAAAAATTCAGCGCATTAATTTTTTGAATGTTTATTTCAAAAGTTTATTTAATAAATAATAACCATTAAAATTTAGGCGCTTTTTAAAAAATTTAAACTTAATAAACATTGTTTATGATAAATAGTTAAACAATCATCATTAATCTTAATAAATAATTGTTTATAATAAATAATTAAATAATCATCATTAATCACCATTAAACATTATTTATCATAATAAATAATAAATCAATCAAACCATCATTATATAACACAAATAATTAATATTCATAAAGTAACCATCAAAATTTAAAAATCCTTAAAATGTCAATAAACTGGTTATTACAAACCATCAATGGTCATCATAATCATCATCATCATTAGGTTCCGCACGATGATCGGGTTGTCTTCCGTGGCCACGGCTGCCGCCACGATGGCTGCCTCGACTGCCACCACGGCTGCCTCGATTGCTGCCACGGTATGCTTGAGCTCCGGGAGTCGATAAAGGGGTATCATCATAATATGCATATGGAAAATTGTTGGAGATATGACTATAATTAGCAAAACCTCTACTCCCCATATTGCCCATATTGCCCGCGAAGGGAATTTGTGGAGTCATCTCGGGGTGCTGTATATGCATGGATGGGCGGTAGGTGGCGTTGAACATACGCATTTGTCGTTCCATCTCTTCCAACCTTTCTCTCGTTCTTCTTGCCTCTTCGTCCCGTATCCGAGCTTCTTCATCCCGCCTTCGAGCCTCTGCTTCACGTTCCTCCAATAGTTTCTCGAGGCGGGTAACTCGATCATCATACGCCGAATGAGAAGATGAGCTAGCTCCTTTGGACTTCTCCAGGATCCGTAAGCCTTCAGAACCCATAAGCGGCACCCGGCCCTTGTAAACTCCGGTTGCCGCCAAGATGGCCTCATATTCTTGATTTTCATCAAGTTCGGCATCAGAATCACCTAGCTCATCAACTCTCTTCCCCCGCTCTTCCTCATATTTTTTCTACAAAATCAAAAATTTATTATATAAGAGATCAAAAAAATTCAAAATTTATTGAATTATTGAAGTTTCATTATTTACTTCAATTTCAGAAAGGCGGGGAGGCGGCATAGCACCCTTCTTCGTCCAACAATGTGCTATGAGTTTCAATGGCGTGACCCGTTTTTTCACGGGTCCAGATCCTTCCTACACGGATTTCAAAGTTAATAAAAAATATATACATAAGGGAATGGAATGGAAATAATTTTAACTAATTAGAGTTTACCAGATCTTTTTTATGTTGTATTTGGGGTTTGCGGCCCCCGTGCCATTGAACTTCCTTGGCTTTTTCCGAGTTCCGGTTTGCCTTGGCTGTTTCGCTTCTCAGCAAAAATGCGGGATCCGTAGCCCAATGGCGGCAAAGCATCTCCCACACATCATCGCCAAGGAATCTTGGCTTCCTACCGGTAGACCGGGCGGTCCTAAAAGTGGATCTCAACCACCCAGAAATCCTAGAATTGTATTCTTTGAGTTAAATTTATCATTGGGAAGCCTTCATTAAAAACATTGATATATCATTTGTTAAATTTAAGTTATTAAAATGTAACAAAAAATTTATTTTTACCTTGAACAACCGCCACCATAGTTCACGAGTGGCCGCCGGAACCTCACCATAAGTCGACCAAGGCCCCGTGAAATGACCACAAACAATAGCCTTGATTCTATTCAAGACCTCGGGATCGCTTCAAAAAAAATTGATAATTGATAAAAACAATTGTATTAATTCTTAGATGTAGAGATTATTCTATTTTATATTAGACAGTGTTAGTTTTTTATTACCTATGGATTGATTGAGGTGTCACCTCAAGCGAACCGGGATTGTGGCGCTCTTCTTGAGT